GTAATTATAACCAGTCAGTTTCATCCATAAATCAAATAATTACAGAATCCTGTAATTTATTCTATTCACGTTTCCACATGGTGTCCACATGGCACATAATAGACGCCTTCCTTCCTTCCCTTCTCTCCCTACCCCCAACCAACCCTGCCACCATCCATAAACAGATGTCTGAAGCAGGGTCACCCATTTGTGTACCAGCTGATGGTTTGTGACTGGTAGCTAACAGGATCACGGTTTTAATGCTTTTTAGCAACACCATTGTTATCCCACTTAGCGGCAGTAGAAAGACATGCTGCAAACCACAAGACTAATGTGTAACCTGGCTTTGTGACATTGCTATTGAGAACGATGTGTGTGTGGGGAGGGGTGATGGGGGGGGGAGAAAGAGTTTTTTTTCTCTGCCTCTAGAACATCCAGGCAATTCATAGTCAATACTTCAGGAAATCTCTTCATCTGAACTTCAGTGTCTGTGTTATTACCTCTACTCTGCCCCTCTAATTGGGCTTCCACAACTGATGAGAAACCACTCATTGGCTTTGCCGCTGAAATCGAGGCTACCCCCTGCACCCACCCTCAAAAGCGAAATGCTGCACAAGTCTGCTCAAGAACCTAACCTCAACTTGATCTGTCCTTAACACAGTGATAATGCGTGAAATAACATTTCCTGCAATAAAATGTGCTGTGTGATTGAAGAACAGATGGATTGGTTTTATTTCACTGTGTGAACAGGCAATACAGTTCTTCATGGTAAGTACTTGTGGAGAGAAAAGGGGGGTGGGGGGAATCAATAAATAAAACATCAAGAGAAATTGTCTGGGCCTCTTGCCTAGAACTACAAACAAGATGTTCAAAACAAGTGCTTGAATTTTAAATCATATGCAAATTTGTCTTTGAAGATGAAAGATAATTAGTTAAAAAGAGACAGGTCTTTTCAGTCTCTCCAAATTTACATCCGACCTATTGAAAACCAAACATGCCAAACCTATTCCCATGTTATCTCACAAAGTACAGGGCAATGGTATAAAATTGTTCTCTAAGAATTTAAACAAATATTGGCATTTGCCATTTAAAAGCCTAAAGGAATTTGGGATCTACCCCTCTTTTTATTTACAGCAAATAGGAGACAAATCTGTTTAAGAAATGATCAAAATAACTAAAAAATCACATCAACTCCTCTGCTTTCCTAAATGCAATTTGGGACAAATGCGATTTTTCGGTGGGTTCACGAAAAATTAGCAGCAAATGACAACATACTTCCAACAAGGCGCACTGAATGCTCCCTTATGTAGGGGTGACCAGAACTGTATGCAGCCATTGAGCCCTATTAAATGTTAAGGAAGGCAAAGAGATTGAGGGAGAGACTTCCACAGCTTTGGGGCATAGTGGCTGAAAGCACGGCCACCGATGGTGGAGCAGAAAGTCCGGGGGTCAAGGAGGAGGCTGGAGCCAGTCGAGTGGAGAGATGGTGGGGTGATGGGAGGGTTGCCAGGGCACGAGGGGATTTAAGTACAAGAGTGAGAATCTTGAAATCGATTTTTGGTGGGGGAGGTGCGCCCTTACCCCCACGGTGTAAAACAACCAAGGAGCCAGTAGTGGAACGACGCCCAAAGCCCACAGGCACAAAGGCCTTTGTGTGCATTCACCCGGTGCAGGTAAGGTGGGGAGACTTTGAAATCTTCCTTTTCATTGAACTTTATTGAGAATCAAATACTAACTAGGTGTGAACCTCTTTCCATCTTGTATGCACAGTCTGTGACAAAAACCTCAGGGGGGCAGGTGGTGGGTGTGGGGTGGCTGGGAGTTAAAGCACCATTAGAATAAATGATCCATTCGCATATGCCTGTTTTGCTTGGTGTCAAATAACCTTTTCTTGTAAGTTTAAAGTTTGTAAATTTAACATCGAAGTCTGTTGAGCCACGAATATCAATGCATCACTAGTTCCTACAGTCTGCGGGGCGTTTCCAATAATGAGCATGTTTACATTAACATCATCTAAAGCACCACAGAAATGAGTTTGCTTCATTCAAGAGGAGGACCACACCCACACTTCATCTCAAGACCTCCGTCACATCGAGCCTCAAAAGATTTTGATTCTAATAACAATTTATAATAGCATTTGATACAGAGCCTTTCACATCAGGAGGTCATCTTAAAGCACGTCACGGGTTTTTCTGTGAAGCATAGTTGACTGTATTTGTCAGGGAAGGTAGCAGCAATGGCCCACAAACAGCCATGTCCAAGTGGCAAGTCTGGAGGCAGAGGGTGAAATGCATAAGGCTGTGCGTATACCAACTGAGCCATGGGGAAATCCATCACAATATCTGAAATGCCCATTGCAGCTGTCAAGCACAAAAGGGATAGTGGTCGAACAAGAGTTGGAAGAAAGCCCCTTGAAATTCCTAGGTATCCAAAATATTTCACCTATGCGATGTGCACAAGAAGTGCATCACCACATACATACCTGAGGCAGTTCCTTCAGCACTACATTACATGGAAAGAGCTTGAACTACAATCTGTAATCCCTGAGTGGGAGGAACTCATTATGGGCGTTTGCGCTTTCGTTTGATCTGAATTTACAGACTAAACACAGTCTGAAAGAAATAATAGATGCGTGTATAGGAAATGACCGCGTTTGACACTGATCCAAGCAACGTTTTGCTGTGTTCATGTAGCTTGCAGCTAGCACTTCCCACGACACGTTAAGCTGCTTTTGAGTTTCCTTGAAAGATAAATGGCACAAACCAAAATATTTAAATGCTTTGAGAGACGTACTCCCAACGTGAAAGATGCTACATAATTGTAAATTGTTTTGTAATATGAATCCCTTTTAATTAAGTACCGGCCTATCTCAGTGGTCTTACCCTCGGTGTTATAATAATAAAATAAGAATGATAATAATCCTTACATTTGGTATACAAATATCCTTTCAAGTCAGGAGGATGTCCAAAAGTTCTTTACAATATACACTGTAAAGCCGGTGTGTAGTTTTTAGCTCGCAGGCACTAACCAAGACTTTTTTNGAACAATGCATTTCAGCAATTAAATTATGTAAAGGAGTCACAATAGCATCTGATGTGTAATATTTTTTACAATGCGATTCACACACAAATTCCAAACAATTTAATTAAACAGCGGTAAAGTGAATGTGCTGTGAAGGGTGGATTCACTCTGCATCCAGAAGAAATCCATTGAGTTTTTCTTAAATTTGAGGGCAAAACAAAAGAGTTCATTGTTCATGAATTAGATTGACAATGATCATTTTGAGCACATTTTCACCCCCCAAAAAATACATCCGCAATTTGCATAGCTGGATTTTTTTGGTCTCCCATAAAAAATACCTTTGTTTAATGACTAGAGTAAAAAAGATTGTTTTGCTGAAATCTCCTCATTAAAACCTCTCTTACGTTGACATTTCCCCACACATTCTATCCAGAAACAAGCCTACACAAAAGGTTGCCAAAGATCACACCTGAATAGTTAGAGGAAGCTCTCTGTTGCTTGCAAAACATCCACTTTAAAAATAAGATTTAAAGATAAGATTTTCCTCTGCAGATGAAATAGTAGCTTACGTCTGTCCTTGTCATGAGATACAGGAATAGTTTTCTGGGTATTAAAATAGAAATGAGTTGTTTCCCCATTTCTCCCTTTAAGGACGCAGCTTCCAAAGGAAAAAGAAATCTTGAAAAGATTTCTTCTGTGAAAATATAAATATAAGCTGCAGCTTTTCCCGTTTTCTAAATTAACTCACTATGGTAGAAAATATTCTTTTGTAACTAAAATGTTTGGAATCTAACCAGAGAGATAAAGGAAACTGGGTGACTTTGATATGGAAGACAGTGCAATCTTCCAGCTGTAGCTTTTGGAAGACGAAACATAAAGGTTGTTTTGATATATCATATTGACCTCAGAGTTGCTCGAATTTAACAGTCCCTAGCTGCTCACATTGAGGAGTCAGCAAAATGTGCCAGAAAGTTCATGCACGACCGCATTTGCAGGTGCTCAACTTTTCAGTGCATTTTTCAGGTCCGTCAAAATGATGAAAGAAAGCAACAATAACTAAATGGTTGTAAAACTAAACACTATTTGCAGAACTGCAAAACAGATAATCTTCATACCATTGGCACATCTGCTGAGCTTGGCAAAGACAAATGCATATTTCGCACCTCTGGTCTCTCAAGTGTTTGAACAGACAGGTATCTTCTATTGCAGAATATGACCCCAAAGCAACATAACTGCAACCCCATTTGGAACCAGCCAGGTGCGTGAGCTTTTCCTTTGCTGGTGTAGATCTAACTTTAGCTGCACAAACTCTATGAGCCCATAGAGATTGGGTTACAAGACTATAAAGCTAAGGTTTTCAACTTTAAATACTTAGCACGGAAATAATTTATGCGGGTCACTGTTTCAATTATTAAATGGTGCTTACTTTTAATTCATAACCTACTGTTCTATTGAATGTGAGTTTTAATAATAGTGATAATAATATTATAATAATAATAATCCTTGCATTTGATACAACGCCTTATCAAGTCATCAAGAGGTCTCAAAGCACTTCACAGGCTTCTTGTAAAGTAAGGTGACTGTTTGTATTTTGTGGTATGAATGCGATAGCCAATATGTGCAAAGTTCCACAAACAGCCATGGAGTGAGTGAACAATTTTATTTGGGGAGAATTGTTGGCTAGGATACCGGGATAAATTCCCCAAGTGGATCCTTAAATTGGTTTAGGTTCTGAATTCAATGCAGTGCATGGAGTGCGCACCCCTTGCTCAATCACATGTGAAACATCCCGTATGATGTTTACCGCATGATATATTTGTCCAATCTTACAATGTAATTCACATTTACAAAGAGCCTTTCAATATCTGGAGGATATCTCAAAGACCTTGACAGTGCTGGATGGGTGAGAGCCAAGGTGGATGGGGAAGGGAAAAGGGAATCTTATTAGGAACTAAGTAAATATTGAGCTTGTGTTGTTTTAGCTAAAATTAGTCTCTTACCTGCTATTGAACTTCTCAGGATGCCTTTCTCTCATCACATGAAATCTGTGAGCAATGGATGCATCCTACACAAAAATAGAAGGATTGATTTGAAGATTATGAAACAAAGACAGGGAACAGTTATCAGTGCAAACTAATTGGGCTCATAACTACATTATTCCCATCACAGATGTATCATTTTCATAAATTTCCCTCCTTTCTCTCTCGATAACTTACATTTCATTTGAACCTACCATTTTGCTGACATTTTGAACATCTAGCCAGTGTTTATTTATTTGTTTATCATTAATTAAACAATGAACTAGTTTGCTCGGTCTAACAAAGAAAAAATCAACCATTTTGCATATCCCTCAGCATAAGGCTCCTGACTATAATGCCCTTTTTTCCGAAGTCTCTCCTGAAGATAATGACTCATGTACGTGTTCTAATCTTAATGGGGTTCAACTTTTTCCTGCATTACATTTTATGGAACGTTGCAGGGACTTCCGCCATAATAATCCTTGCATTTTATATAGCGCCTTATCATGTCTTCAAGACATCTCAAAGTGCTTCACAAAATATGCTGTAAAGTGAATTGACTGTATAATTCTGTGGGCAAAATGCGGCAGCCAATTGCGCACAGCAGTGTCCCACAAACAGTTGTGGATTGAGTAATCAAATTATGTTTTTATATAGCATACACCAAGAATCATAGAAATTTCAGTGCAGAAGCAAGCCATTTGGAACATCAAATCTCATTATGAGATACAAAGTCTTTAGCTGAGGTCCAAGGAGGGCAAGATGTAGCACTATTTTGATTTACATTTTTCAAGCTCTCCTTCAGCAAACAACAGAGATTCCAAATGATCGGCACCTTCCAAAGCAACAAGGACACAGGATGATGACTTCACTTGGCATTGTGTATATCTTGGTTTGTTTCCATAGTGATTCCATTTTAATTAAATCAAATGAACTAAAGTGCCATTTCCATGAATAATGGATTGTAGCTGATATAACGGCTGAAAAGCATTATTAATATAATAGCCAGAGTAATGAAAATAACTCCAGCGCGATTTGAAATGCAGTCCTTTATCAATTTGTAATTGTAATGACTACTGACAGGTTCTTCATTTGAGCAGCACATTATTGGATTTTTATGGGTCTTTTAACCTCACATATTGCTTTCTTTCTAATTGCAAGAAAAACACAATTTGCACGACCATCTAACGAGTCTCCCATTGAACATCCATTTGTCATTTGAAAATGTTCCCTCCTTTTCCAACTTGCATATTAATTAGGTATCTATATATTTTGAAATATCAATTAAATCATTGAAGATCATCTCAGACAGGTGAGTTTAATTTCATCTCAATTCCCATTGGGATTGTGAGGAACTTTTTGGGGGATTTTCGAGCTGGTGGATGGGATCTGTTGGAACTTGGATGTGGTGGGCTGAGGTACTGTATTTTTATGTTTGTTTGCTGTCTATGCTCTAAACCACAACACTATTAAGGAAGCAAAGGTTCCTCTTCAGCCTCCACGACTCATAAATAAAACACAAAATACTGCAGATGCTGGAAATCTGAAACAAAAACAGAGAATTGGGAAAACTCAGCAGGTTAGGCAGCATCTATGGAGAATGGAAAGTGAGTCAATATTTTGGGTCCACGACCCTTCGCCAGCTCTGACGAAGGGTCGTGGACCCGAAACATTGACTCACTTTCTATTCTCCATAGATGCTGCCTGACCTGCTGAGTTTTCACAGCTCTCTCTGTTTTTGTTCCACGACTCATATGTCAGGTGCTGCAATGAGTTCAGTGTAAGGTAAAAGGGCACAAGGTTTTTGAACAGACGCCAGGAAGTACGTCTCAGTACAGAGGGTAACCAGGAAGGATGATAGAGGTCACGATGCTGGGCTCATTAACCAAATAGTTTGATGCGATAAAGAGTGGGAGCAGAAAGGCTGAAGGCCTGACCGCTGCCAATTGGGCGTGACACATTCTCCATAGATGCTGCCTGACCTGCCTAGTTTTCCCAGCACTCTCTGCCGAGCGGAGGGAGAGGGCAGATTGGTAGGGATTTAGAAGGTCGCAGAGGTAGGACCGTTGAAAGGATTTAAAAATGAGGATGAACTCAATTTCAAAAGCTTCCAGTAACATTCAGGGCATTCCGTGGCTGCTGGGATGAAGATCATTCCTGTAGATTTTTACAAAATAACAGAATCTCGGGAGTTATTTGGTGTGCTGCTGAGTAGCTGGATCATGACTGGTGTAAAAGACTTTGCTTAAGACGCTGCTAAATTGTGAACAATGGACACCAGCAGGAAGCAGGCAGTGGAGCAAGGTAGGTGCTGTGTTTTCCGGTGTGTTCCTGATCAGCAGAACAATCCTCTGCTGAATGAGTCACTTTTGTGTGATCACAAGATAATTTTTTTTTTTCGGGGGGGGGATCAGACACATGCGGAAACCCATCACTGTGCTTAAGAGTATCAAAAACCAAGCTGAGGATTCCATACATCCCACCTACACATGGAAATCCCAGAGATAGATTGTTGAAATGGAATGCACACTCTCTCCCTGGAGGGACGCATCCTGCTCACCTAATTCCAGAAAGTATTAGGCGCAACAGAATAATGATACATCTTCTCAGTAGCTGGGAGTATTTCCATTGCTCCCCTACTCATATTTCTGTTTCTGTCCAATTCACTTTACAGTACATTCTGTGAAGCGGGTTGAGACGTCTCGAAGATGTGATAAGGCGCTATATAATAATAATAATAAGGCGCTATATCAAATGTAAGGATTATTATTATTATTATTAAGAAAGGATGGATTGGAAGAAATAATCCCTAAGCGGATGATATGTGGGAAGTCGTAGAACACTACAGTACGGAAACAGCCCATTCAGCCCTGGTTTGTTCCGCTGTTTATACTCAAAATCAGCCTCAACCCCTCCGAATTCCCTTTCCCATGATGAACTCGTCAAGTTAATAAAAACTCACAAATAAAACTCAAAATACTGCAGATGCCAATTCTGACAAAGGGTCATGCACCCGAAACGTTGACCCATTTTCCTTTCTCCATAGATGCTGCCTGACCTGCTGAGTGTTCCCAGCGATCTCTATTTTTGTTTAAGAAACTCACAGATGACTTTCAGTGGTCATGAATGACTGTGTGTAACAGAGAGCACAGAGCGGTATATCATTTACCGTATTAAGTTGGATGTCCAAGCTTATACAATAAGCTGGTGACCATCTTTTCTTGCGAGATATTTTTGGTGTCGTGCAGTCTGCAGTGAGGGTCCCTGAGGAGATCTGATGTAATGAATGCCTGGCTGCTGAAGCAGGTATTGAGTTTAAAAACAATCGTTCACCCAAGTTTAAATTTCTAATCTTTAATGAAGTGGATGGATAATGGATTTTAAACACGTGACCAATAGAGTTAGGGTATCAACAGAATCTTGTATGTTACACTGGGAGATGATACTTTTAGTCAATAATTTAAGAAAATGTAAAACGTTTATATAGAAGTACCACTTAAGGTACAAGATCCTCTCCTGATGATTATAAAAAGCAAATCTAGTTTTTTTTCATCTCTGCTAAACATTAAGCACCATCTACTACCCACAGAAGGAAGTGCCCGGTTCACAGTAAGTTATCAAACACATAATATTGCTGTCTAATTAGATCTCAGTGTGGCTTGCTCGTACTATTACAGAAAAGAAAAGAAAGCATTGAAAGCAAAGGGCAACGCTTCCTTTTTTTGTTGACTTAAGCAATGATACTGATCAAACAGAAGAATTGTAAACTCATCATATAAAAAGGAATTGCACTTGCAACTTACAAGCTTCCATCCGTTTCAAAATTAAAAAGGTTATGTACGCATTGTGTACATTGCGTTATAGGTCAGCAATGACTGTCGTGACTTCCCAATTGAAATCGGAGCTCTATTAAACATAATTAAGAATTAAATTTAGTTTTGGAAAAAATAAACTGCTCTGTAACTAACTTCCTGTCATTGATACTTCCTCTGACACTGTTCAGACTTAAAAAAGGATCCAGGCGTTGATTCCCCTCATGTTACAAAACCTTTCAAGTTGTAACCAGCATACACTTATGGTTAATCCTACTCTTGTCATCTTTTTTTAAACCAGATGTAATTACCTTCATCTCAGGAACATCTACATCCAGAAGGTTACTGATAACTGGTACTTTTTTGTACAGCAAGTCTACAATTATGAAACGGATATCTAAAGACCATATACGATCTATCTAACAATATGCGTTACTAACCATATAGTTGCAATCTTTGGATACGTGTATGTATATATAACTAATCCTGTGATTTTGTGAAGTAGTCTGTTTCCAGTTCAAAAAGTGAGTGGGATAATTTCTCCCCATTGTGACATATTTAGACCCAAAAGAAAGATTTCCTTTTGCGGAATTTTTTTTATGCGTTAGTATAATGATATCAAAGATAATCAACTCTTTTCCTCTCTTTTTGCTAGGAATTTGTCACACTTGTGTGTCAGCCTGGCTCAGTTGGTAGCCCTCTCGTCTCAGAGTAAAGAAGTTTGTGGGTGTAAGCCTCAAGACTTAGAACTCTTGGCTGAGACTCCAATGCAGTGCATTGTTGGAGGTGCTCATCCTTGAGCTAAGATGTTAAACTGAGGCCCAGTCTGGTTGTTCAAGTGGACATTAAAGACCCTATGGCACTGTTCGCAAAGAGAAGGAAGCTTTTCCTGGTGTCCTGGCCAACAATCCCCCGAATAAAATTGGTCATTTAATCCACAGCTTTTGACTTAATTTCTTTTGAGCAGTAATCCACATTACTGTGCAGCCACTGATATCACTTCATGAAAAAAGCACGCAGAAGGTAGTCGGCAGCTCTTCCTGCACTTAGCGCACAGGAAGTGACATGAGAGGTGACCCAAAGACCAGGAAGTTGGCTACTTTAACCTTTTTTGCTTATAATTCAGTTTGTGAGCTCCAAAATGCTATTCTACACTAATTGTTGTTGAGCTGTTGGACCAACAGGACTATATGACAATGAGGTTCCCCTGTAGTTAACTTTACTCTTTTTCCAGC